AGAGGATTGTGGGAGGAACACCCAGCCCCTGATGGGGGTCCCGCGGGGCACCCCAAGATATTGAGGAACTCTCTTGGCCTCTGGCGGGACTGGGGCTGTGCAGCCCTGTTCTGAGCGGGAGGTGCAGCCAGGGGGTCACCATGCCTTGGGGGGGGCAGGACATGTTCCCTATGCTCTTTAGGATCTTACTTCTTGAATGTCTTTGTTGAGTAAAAAAAAATATTTTATACTCTACCAGATATGGCTTCATGAAGCCCTGAGGGTAGTTAACTGCATAATAAAGGAATGATAGGTGTACAGATTAGGCATCCTTTAGTCTCGAGAGACTATGGTAACGTGCTCTGTATGGAGCACTTGGAACAGCATCTAGTGTGGCCGAGAAGGCCAATTTGAGAGTGACAATTCCTTCCACATTTAAGACAAATACAATCTGTCCCCTCTCCAACTCCCTAATTTTGCTGATTTTGGGACTGCCTCTTTGCCTTGGCCTGCTGGACAAGGATCTCTTCAAAATGGGAGAGGTCATGATGTACCGCCTGCCTCCAGGCTGAACTCTCAGATGTCAAAGTTTCCCATCTGTTGAGGTCCATCCCTAAGGCCTTCAGATCCCGCTTGCAGATATACTTGTATCGCAGCTGTGCTCTCCCTCTGGGGCAATTTCCCTGCACTAATTCTCCATACAGGAGATCTTTTGGAATCAGACCATCAGCCATTCTCACAACATGCCCAAGCCATTGTAGATGTCACAGTTTCAGTAATGTATACATGCTAAAAATTCCAGCTTGTTCTTTGTTGTTGTTGTTTAGTCGTTAAGTCATGTCCGACTCTTTGTGACCCCATGGACCAGAGCACACCAGGCCCTCCTGTCTTCCACTGCCTCCCGGAGTTTGGTCAGATTCATGTTGGTAGCTTCGATGACACAGTACAACCATCTCATCCTCTGTCGTCCCCTTCTCCTCTTGCCTTCACACTTTCCCAACATCGGGGCTTTTCCAGGGAGTTTTCTCTTCTCATGAGATGGCCAAAGTATTGGAGTCTCAGCTTCAGGATCTATCCTTCCAGTGAGCACCCCCTTCATGGATTGCTGCCTTGTCGTGGCAAAGGAGCTTGAGTAATTCAGAGAAGCTATGGGCTATGCCGTGCAGGGACACCCAAGACGGACAGGTCATAGTCGAGAGTTCGGACTAAACGCAATCCACCTGGAGCAGGAATTGGCAAGCCACTCCAGTATCTTTGCCAACAAAACTCCATTAACAGAAAAAAGAGCTTGTTCTAGGACTACTCTATTTGGAACTTTGTCCTGCCAGGTGTTACCAAAAATGTTTCAAAGACAACACATATGGAATATGTTAGCTTCCTCTCCTGCCGTGCACAAAGAGTTCAGGACTCAATGCAGTACAGGAGTGTGCTCAGTACACAGGCTATATAAACGTGGATCTTGGTACATGCCATCAGCTTCTTATTGAGCCATACTCTCTTTGTGAGTCTAGAGAACATAGTAGCTGCTTTGCCAATGCATTTATCCAGCTCGACATCTAGGGAGAGAGTGTTAGGGATCGTTGAGCCAAGGTACACAACATCATGAACAACCTCTTATTCTTGTGTGGAAATGGTAATAGAGGGAGGTGAGTCCATGCCCTGGCCCGTGACTTGTGTTTTCTTCAGGCTGATTGTTAATCCAAAGTCTTGGTAGGCCTTGCTAAAATGATTCTTGAGTTGTTGGAGATCTTCAGCAGAGTGGGCAACAACAATTGCATCATCGGCGAAGAGGAAGTCCCACATGCATTTCAGCTGGACTTTGGTCTTCGCTCTCAATCTAGAAAGATTAAAGAGGTGTACAATCAAATTAACATTTATAATTAAACATATAATGTACACTAGCCTCGAAGTCAAGTAAAGCTCATCTTAAGGGCTTCGTTTGTTAAGTAATGTGTCTTAAAATATGTCCCCCTTTACATCTGACAGGAAAGCCCTGCTCCAAGTTCCTGTCTTGCTGTTGCCTTAATATAAACTGAACATGTGTGCTTGCCAAGGCAAATGATACAGTGTAGCTGTTGGAGCCCCTTTTTTTAGCGATTGCAAAAAGTCATCGTCAAGCAATTTCAACGTCATGCGGGATACGTGTCTAGCAGGGCACCACTGTATATACCTGGCCACAACTGCAAAGTATCCGGTATACTCCTGCAGTGGTGAGGGGGTCTCTTCTGTCCTTTGCTGACCGTAACATTTGTTGTATTTTTGTAATGGGCTTGAATATTGTTTGTAGGTTGTTGTTTTTTCAAAAGTTTCCACATGCGGTCCGTGACTCCTTTGATGTATGGCAGAAATACTTTATTTGTGCGTGGGTGTTTTTCTTCTTCCGTTTGGTTTTGTTTTCTTGGTTTGATGGTTCTTGTGATTTCATTTTTGGAATAGCCATTTGCCTATAGGGCCCAATTCAGATGGTTGAGTTCAGTGCTGAGAATCTGAGCTTCACAGTTCCGATTTGCACGGTCTAGCAGTGTTTTGATTATGCCTCTTTTTTTTGCTGTGGGGGGGGGTTGGAGTTTTTGTGTAGGTACCGGTCTGTGAGAGAGTGTTTTGTTTTGCTTTCAAAGAATTAAACTAGATCATCTCCTGGAATAGGGAGTAAGACAGTGAATGGACTGGCTACTTACATGTTACTCAAAAAAGAGAAGGTGCATCATGAAAGAGACTGGCATAAAATCTGTGTAAAAATTTTATATGCTGTATCTTATGTGTCAGTGTCAATTTAGAAGGAAGTAATTCTGTGAATATGATCCATTGTACCAAGGTGGGAAATGATGACCACATAGGGGCTAGAATCCTACAGTGAAATATTGAACATGGTAGGGCAACTGTGAAACTTTTAAAAGTTTAGTGTGTGTCTGTCACACACATGGACATGTGGCTGAGTGTACAACCGAGGCCTGTCTAAGCATGCAACAGACAGACAATAAGATCATCTGTTGCTTTTTACTATGCATGGAAGGGAGATGGTTGAAGCCTAGGCAATGGCAAAGTGATTCAAGTGCAATTGGGAATATGCCAGAGCATGTGACCTACATGTGACTGGCAAATTAGCAGATTGTCTCTGCAGCTTCTACAGTTTATCTTCTATGCATGGTGAAATGCAGGAGCACACAAGCTTTTATTTGTAAAATAAAAGACTTGGACTGGACAGGTCTTCAAACAGACTGACTGTTTAATACAATACTTTCAGACAAAGAACTACTCAAATATAGAAGTGTAGCTCTGTAAATTAGATTTATGGCCAGACCAATTATGCATTTCAAGATAAACATGGCACCAGAAATCTGAGGTTATAAGTGTGAAGGAAGAACATTATATATATATATATATTGGAATTCCAGCTATAGCATGTTAATGATCGTGGCCAGTATTACAAGAAATGTGCAACTAGTTCTGTGCTCCCATGCACACTTTCTCAAAAGTTTGACAGAGATTTCATGCAGTGGATACAGTCTTAATCACCACCCTCAAAGAATCTCCAGGCCCCCATGAAAAAAATGTATTTGAGATTCCTGGACTTTCAAGAGCAGTTTATGAAATGACATGAATGGTAGTAGTGTGAACTGTTCAAAGGGGGGAAAAAATCTGGTGGGCCTTTGAGTTGCCCAAAATAGTTTTTTTAAACCTTGTGGTTAAGTTTGTTGTGACACATGGCTGTTTACATATGTAAACTCTGCCATTATGTAACTTGTTTATATTGAAAATCTTCTTTTGTCTCTGTTTATTTCCCCATGTGTGCTTTCATTTTGCATGCTTTCATTAAGATCTGTTTTTGTTTTCAGTAATGTTGACATGCATCTCTGTGTACTTGGTGTTGTCCTTTAGCTATGGTCACCCAGCCCAAATTTGTGAGCAGCTCTGAATATCTCACTGCAAAATGACTTAAAACTTGACATTGCCCACAGAACATATATACAGTATTGGGATTATGCTGACTTTTTCTCGAGAATTAGTTCAAAAATAAGGAATTTTAAAAAATAATTTTACCGGTTTGTTTTAGCTGGTGCTTTTAAAATAATCATTCACTTTGAAAGAAGAAGCCTCTGTAATAACTTTTTAACTTACACTTTATATGTTCATAATGTTCCACCAGTTAATACAAACCCATTTGTAACATAGGGAGATTCTTAAAGCATTAGACAAGGTTTGTTTTTTGGGAGGTGGTTTTTCAAAGTACACAGTTTTTAGCTTCTAAATTATTAGAAGTATTTACTTGCAACATTTTTCATAAATGCATCTTTAAGGTAAGACAGAGTGGTTGCAAGCAATTACTTTAGTTTCTAATATAAAAGGATCATCATTTTGGCAGAAAAAAGTACTAATTTTAACTCAAGTCTATTGCCATAGCATGCTGCCACATATAATTTTTTTCTCCTCTAAATTACATAGCTGGTACGGTGAATAGAGATATAAATTTTGCTTATTTCATTATTGTAGATGAGAGTGAAAAATTTGAAAGGTTTGCTCCCCACTGGGTGAGTTTATGATAATTTTACATTTGGAGACTTGCTTTGAAAAACAGTTGCAGAAGTGGTTTTGCACAAAACTGTATTTTGTGCAAAATGTAAAGGTTATTTTCCTTTTTTCCTAATGCAAATCCAGATCTCTGGTCCTCTTACATAAGCAAAACAAACAAAACAAAACAACCCCACCACCACATTGCAGCAGTTGCCTTTTCCCTCAACAGGATGTCCCAATCTATCAAGACACCTTTATACATTGAGGATGAGATAATTGCAAGTATGCAATACATTCTTGATGGTGACTCCTACTGTTTTGTTTCCTTGTTTATCACCTTCACTGAAAATATGAATGAATGGGGGATTTGTTTTATCCTATTGAAACAGATGTCTATATGTACATGATTAGGCCTCTATTCATCTGAATGTCTAGTCATTTGAATGTTAAGGAAATGGAAGATGTTGTTTGAGTAAATCCCTAAATACAAATATTCCTTTTCTTTACAGCACTACAGAAAAGAAGTGTTAAGAATTCCTGTTAATCATTTCAGAATCAGAAGAAAAAAGGTAACAAAAATGGAATAGTAAGAATGTGTGTATAGTTCTGGCTATAATTTAGCTTAGTTCATTTTAGACTGTTGAAGAGGCACAAAACATTCCAATATGCCAGAGATGGATCAAGATATCCCAAAATTAAAAATTGGAGGGGTAGCCCAACCTCTTTCCAGCAATACCGTTAAGCTGCGATTGCACTAACATTTCCATGTTTTCTGAGTTAATTAAACAGTGGTCTCCAATAATAATTGCTAGTTTTGTTTTGCAAGAGCTTGCACAACCTCTTTCACAGTGTCATGTTGGCGTAATTTAACACAGTGTCAATAGAAAAGTATGTACTATTTGCATGCATTTGTGTAAAGCTTTGCAACTCAAATGCATTTGGCTGGAAAGTATACAAATGCTTTAATGAATACCAAAGTGAATTAAAATGCACATATTAACATGCATAGAAAAATATACATTTTGAACAGATTATGCACAAAAATATGCACAAATTTCAAGAGGATGACTTTCTTGCAGTTAGGATCAGAAACTATATTGAACAAGAGTGATGTTGGGAAATTATATAGAATCAAGACTGACAGATTTTGATACCCTGTGTCTTACTGGTGTAAACCATGTTAAAAGCTCACATTTTAAATACTGGGGGTGTTTATGGAATGTGACCTGTATTAGATGGCAGTTTGCATTGGAAACTTGCATATTATTATGCTGGCCAAACTGAAAACCACTGAAATCAATAGAAGGCTCGACACACTCATATACAGATAGCTTCAGTTTGCTGTTAAGAACATATAACATATTCAGTCTTTCCTTTATTTTGCTTTTGAAGTATGAAATACTGAAAAATAAAACACTATTCTTAATACATTTACAAAATTGCATAGATCTACTTCTTCAGCATAGAGAGTTAATGTGCTGCCAGTGGCTGTCAAGAATGCAGCCAATTTTCATGCTGCCACATATAAACAACATAAATTTTGTGTCATACAACATAAATTGAAAATAATCAGTCTGGTCAGTTATTTCTCAAAGTGTTGAGTGCAAGTTGCTAACAAAATAGCATTTATGTTCGTTATATTATAGTTACCTTGCTATTTGCACCTTGAATTCTTGAATTGAAAGAACTTGCACAGTTTTTTGCTTTCTTTCTAACCACAAGGTTGTTTCCCTTTAAAGCCTTTTTCAGTTTAGGACCCGAAAGTACACCATACTGCCTCTCTAATGAGATAATATTTAGATTATTATCTTCACACATTAATATAATTAATAATTTTGGGGGGAATTCCTACCATACAGGGTATGTTCCGAGGTGAGTAGGTGAAGGGTGACCAGATGGAGCAAGTGGTCTTCTCTTTGTGGCACTTTTCCCTCAGAGACTCCTAGCTGTTTTCTTGGGTGCCAAAGAATAAATATTTCTGTTCCCTTATATTTAAACAAACTATGGTGTGTGTGTGTGTGTACGTGTACATGTGTGCGTGTGTGTACGTGTGTGCGTGTTTGTGTGTGCAAAATAAAAAATGAATTTGAAAATAACATGGTAGGTGATTGGTGTATGTATTTATTTATGTTGTTTCCAACAGTTCTTCAACATAGAGCTGTTTACAAAGCAAGATAAAACATAGGAATTAAATTAAAATGTAATAAATTGTATCATTTTAAAATTGTGTGTTTATGAGAAGTGTGTATATTGAAATCTCTCTTTGCATTTCTGTGAGACTGGAGAATAGTGTAGTGAGGTGATACAGGAGAACAGAGTGGTAGCCACGCTTCTCATTTTTGTCCTGCAACCCAGAGTAATACATTGGTTGATCAGAATTATAACAAACTATGAAAATGAATGAAAAATTACTACTCTTCTGTTGAAATGTGCTTAAATTCCCTGAAAGAAAGCCTTAAAAGTATGCTAATACAGTGGTGCCTTGCAAGACGAATGCCTCCCAGGACAAAAAACACGCAAGACAAATGGTTTTGGCAATGGGGTTGATGATTCGTAAGACAAATGTTTTCCATTTTTTGTTCCTGCCTCATTTTTGCTGATTTAAATGTTTTTCTATGATATTTAAAAAGTTAATGTTTTTTGATTGAAATTTTTGAAATCATCTGCACAATATGTATGGCTTTAAGGAGCACTTAATAAACCCTTTGTAAACCAAATTTGACTTTTGTCTGACTTTTTTTGCCCATAGGAACACATTAATTAGATTTCAATGCATTCCTATGGGAAAACGTGTTTTGCAAGACAAATTTTTAGCAAGACGACATTAACCAAGGTACGAATTAAATTCATCTTGCGAGGCACCACTGTACATCCTGATGTTTGTGTCTGCATAAGTAGAATGAGTTTTCAGTTTTGCAGACATTCTTATGCCACATTTGTTTTTCTGTCTACACTAACATTATTCTTTTATTCATTCGTGTGAAGTATTGCTTCTCCCAACTACCAGCTGCGGTATGTTCAAGTATAGAACATTGAAACTGTCAACTATATTTAAATTAAACTCTTGCATAAAATTCATTTGAAACTGCACCAGCTCACAGATTTGGCAATGGGTAAAACTATTAACCTGCTTTTTTGTCTTTCAATCTCCTTTTTTTGTTTGCTTGTGATTACCATAGTGGGACTATAGAGCTTGCAAGCATTGTATGCCTGTAGAAGAAGCAAGTGGGAAGAAACTGCAAGAAGCTATAAATCCATGGATAAGACTGAGTTATGATGGATATTGAATATTTAGAGATAGCTGTCATATAAGTGTTTAGTGAAGGAGAATTCTAGTTTTCTAGACTCTTCTAAGCAACCTTCTCCATGAATTTCCTAGTCTGTATGCCTTTAGGGATGGAAAAAGCAAACTTTCACTTTACTTTTTATTCCTTTCACTTTACTTTTTATTAGGTTTATATTGTTTTTATTTCCTAATTAAAGATTGAATGTTGTGCATGATCCCAAATGAAATCTTAACAGCTATTCTCTCTGAATCTGTGCATATGATTTAACATACTGAATATATTTATTTATGTCATAACCGTCATTCAGCTACCTTCACTATGTCTGCTCCAGGAATTTCTGATTCTACATAAAGCTTGAAATAGTGACTTCTTTATAGTATTACACTCTGATAATCCCTCTTCAAGCACAGCCAATAACCCCAATGGCTAAGGATTTGTGAATTTATAGTGCAATAATGGTGAGAAGACCACTTTTTGTTTTGAAAATGTGGGAATGTTGTCGTTAGATGGTGTGGGGCCCCGTGCTGTAATTAAAATGGGAAAGACTAATATTTAAACAAACTGAAATTGAGGAAATTTATATCAATATAGTTTTTTAGGTTATACAGAAATGATGAAATTTCTACTGTGGAAAGAAATCTTGCTTAGGGATGCTATCGTCTCATATGAGGAGTAATGAAAGCTAGCAAGACAAGCAGGGAATAAATGACTGGCTATAATTTCATTGTGGCACACCCATCGTAAATGCTTCTTGCAGAATAATGTCAGTAAAGTTTACTAGTTTCTTGGGTTGAATTAGGTCAAAATGCCGCACTGTAAACCATATAATCATAGATTTTGTTGCTGCCAGACGATTAAGAGGGAAGGAATAGATCCATTGTTTGGGAAAGACTATGAATTTTAAGCAACTGATAATAAGAAAATGGAACAATCAGCTTCTGATTTGCTTTTTCTTATTTGACCTAGGAAAAGTACAACAAATGCTATAAGGACAGATCTCTACGTCAGATTGTATAAGGTGATGGTTGGAGAACACTTGGCTACTTGAGTTCAGATTTCTAGGGCCACCTTGATTACTTTTCTGAGAGCTGTAAAATCTGTAAAAATATTTTGGAGACACTAAATCTAAAATTGAGGGTAGTGAAATGCAGAGAATAGAAGAATTGAGCCCCTTAAGACTGGACATGGGCAAGTTTATTCTTGTCTTCAAAAAGTGAGAATGATGGATCATGAGAACTATGAGTGGATCAGTCTGACATTAATACTATTTAACATTCCAGAGTAGATTATTAAGCATTCATTTTACAACCATCTAGATTGGTGGATCATGGGAATGCTACAGAAATGGGATATTCTACATTCATCAAAGCATTTGATTGCCTCTCTTACTAACATGGTTGAGAAGAAAATAAAATGTGAGCTCAGTGATATTGCTCTCAGGATGATCCATAGTTGGTACAACAAATTTAACACTCCATGGTTCTATGGAGACATGTAGAAAAAAGAATGCAGTTATCTTTTTGAAGCCAGATAAAAACAAAGTCCCAGATACATTTATCTCCACTCATTGGGCTGAGCCACAGAGTCGATAGGGGTTACACAAACACAAACGATGAATTTCATTATTGGCATCAGCTTGGATGATGATCTTTAGTGGACTGTCACAGGGCTCTTCTATAAATGCTGAGGGGGTAGATGGGGATAGCTTTGCTGAGGGTAAGTTACTGGGAGGGAGAGCTAACATGTAGAAGACAGAATCAAAATTTTAAATGATCTTCACAGTCTGAGCCAAAATGAAGAATAAGAAATTCACCAGACATAAATATAATGTTCTACATTAAGATTTAAAAAAATCAATAGCACTTGGATTGGATGGGGGAAACCTAGATTTGCAACAGGACACTTGGATTGAAAAATGAGCATAAAACAGCAGTGATATGTGGCTGCTAAAGAAAAGCTGCTGCAAACCTCAAGCAGCATAAATACAAATGTAATGGTAAGATCACAAGTAAGTAATTCTTCCTTTATATTATAGGCTGCAACTAGCATCTACAGTTCTGGGCAGGACATTTTTCCATGGGATTGTCATGTTAATCTGTGGCATCAAAATAAGTCTTGTGGCACCTTGAAGACTTAACATATTCAGCTATGTAATGAGCTTTTGTGGACTCATAGGTCACAGTGCATGGCTATGTTCTTCTAATGTCATGCTGTAATTAATCTGCTGTAGGACTTTTTGAAACTTAAGAAGGATATTGACAAAGTTAAATGTCTGTGAGGGA